CCCGTGGAAGCCTCAAGAATATTTTTTCTATCTTTTATATTTTCGTCGATATTCGCCTCGAAAGAAAAATACCGTTTTTTTTTCAAAGGGGTGTTTAACCCCTTAAACATGAGTTAGGGCACGTATAAAAAAATACATGTCTCTTAAATTTTTGTGTTTAACAACATATTCATGGAGAATCAAATCGGTTCTGGACAGTTGTGAAACTTCCCTTATTAGTTAAAAGACAAATAAACTCACACTGAAAAAAATCCTGCAATAATTATTAATCTATCATAAATTTGAACTCGATTTCTTTGTCAGAAATGTATAAATCTAAATTTGTGATATTTAATAGTAATGAACGCAACTGTATATTAAAGATATCATCCATTCTTATGAAATTACGTGTATATTGAAGCTAATTTCTTTGTACTTAACAAATTTATATTAATTATTAATATAAGTATAGTCGACGAATTTGAATAAATTATTTTATTTATCGTTAACGATGTAATATTTTATATTATATAAATATACGTAGTTTAATGAAAACTTTGAGTTATTAAATATAAATAAAAATATAATTTTCTATAAATGTAATGCTATACTAAGATTAATACGTATATCTCTAGAGTACCCATAAAGATGGGTATATTAATAGTTAATATACCGTCCGTTGAGCGCGGTTCCTCAATCGCGGCCGTTATAGGTTAGGGATCTCACATTTCATTCACTGATTACCAGTAGCATACTTGGCACTGATATCAGTGATTATCCACTGATTCAGATTTAGAGAGTGGACTAATTCTATAAGAAGATTGCGATCACGACGCGCGGTACAGACATTGCAGCGCGTTTATTGCAGATAATTAATATAATAATTAATAATCAAAAGGCACTCACAAAAACATTGAAATATTTGAGAAAATTTTATATTTTTCACATATAATACACAATTTATCTTAATTATTTTGAATCAATAAATACCAGCGTATTATTTCGTTATGCAATCTCCTTAAATATTAATAATATTAAACTATCAGCAGAAAATCATCACATGAAATTAAAAGTGGTTACAATAGGAGGTACTATACCGTTAGCAATTACTCAGTCACAAAGTACGATTAGCTCTGCGTAAATGTATTAGGCTTACCGTTCTAGGGACCTAGGTTCAAATCTTGTCAGCGATGCGTTTTTAATTAATAGTAATTAATTGTAGTTAATAAGACAGAATATAGGTATGCGAAACAGTAAAAATATAAATTGGAAAATTGGAAAAATAAAAAGTAATAATAAAAAAATTTTTTTTTTCGTTAAGATATAACCATAATTTTTTTATTACAAGTAAATATGATACTTGATTCATAATAAAGCAAAGGAAGAATTCTTCTTAAGAAAAAAATAAATTCAGGAAGAGAATTGGTATATATATTAACTATTGATATACGTAAATTCGCATGAAAATTGTCTTGTTTTCATTATTACCATAGCCATTGCTATACTGCTAATAATATAGCTAATACTGAAGAAGTTTTTATAAGAATACTGAACTTCTGGACGAGAACAGATATATTAACTATTAATAAAGCAAGCTTTAAAATTAATATTCGTGCATTTATGAGTAATTTTGCATGCTTTAGCAATAAATCGATGGTTGTCAATATACCATGTCTTAACTATGAAGAAATATTTATTAAGATACAAAAAATATTTACATTTACAGCAAAGCATATATATTAACTATTAATGTACAGTTTTTTCCGTGCATATTCAACCTTGGATGAAATAAATATATATAGCATTTTTTTAGAATATCCCAGTATATAAAAATCATGGATAACAAAGAAACAATAGCAAGGAACGATGTTTCCGATGAAGAAATCGTTATTTCTGGTATTGCTGGCAGATTTCCTAATTCGGATAATATGAATCAATTGCGAGAAAATTTATTCAATAAAATTGATCTCGTTAGAGCAGATCATGACCGATGGGGAAAAGGTAAAAATTTAAATTTATAGTTACACTTTATAATTTTATATTTATGTATGATTGAGAATAGAATATGCCACTCCTTCTGTACTAAATATAATTACATGCATATTTATTAATCAATCACGTATATCACAAAATAAAATTTCATATATTCAATAACATTATAAACAAAAAATATAAAATCCTTATATTAATACATCTAGCTTTAGAGCATCCGGAATTCTCACGCCGTATGGGTACTGTCAATAAAGCAGAAAAATTTGATGCGGATTTTTTCGGATTAACTTTTGAGCAAGCACACACACTCTCAGGTGAAGCAAGATTGTTATTGGAACATTCTTACGAAGCAATTATCGATGCGGGGATTAATCCAAAGCAATTACAAGGAAAAAATACTGCCTTAATTATAGGGACATCCCTTATTGAATCACAAGAAAGGTTAATGTATAAAGACATTCAGGTAAAAAAAGATATATATATATATATATAAAGGCGAAATATATATATGTATACAGAGGAAAGTTGTATCAATTTGAACACAAATGAGCATTAGAAACTGTAACTTGATGTTCCAGGCATCTATTTTGCATATTTAACCCTTCGCCATTAAATTAATTTGTTATAAATCTTTTTGGAACATGCTGTAAAATATAGGTACGATTTAGACAATCGATTGCCTAAATCGTACCTCCTTTGAAAGTATCATGTTATAAAATATACATAATGTATGACATGTGTCATGTAAGAACAGATTCAGTCTTTTTGTACTATTTTTATGTATAACATATTATGCTATGTGTTACATATCACATATCTATAAAAATGTTATATAGTACAAAGAAATGGTAAATATTTATTTTAACCATGACACCTTACTGATTTCAATGCCCTTTTAATATGTTGTAGAGAAGAGTATCCTGAATGATTCCATAAGAATTAAGTGGGGGACGGCATTGGTTTAGAAGATATAGTAAATTAAAGTTTCGTAATAAAGTTATAACATACTATTTTCCACGCAAAGCGACCTCACCTCCCCCTGCCAAGGAGCTCACTATTTCCACGCGAAATAACTCCCATCCCACCTCTTCCCCTGCTTAGGAGCGCACGACTTCCACGCGAAGCGACTTTTATATTTTATCCCACCTCCTCCCTGTTTCGGGGCGTGTGACTTTCTAAAGAAATATAGTAAATCTCGAAAAGTTGTGTACTATTAAATTTCACTCCATGTACTACTGAATTTCACTCCGTAAAATCTATTCTCGGGAATTCTGAACCTGCGAGTGGTTTTAATCAGATTACTAAGGTAAAATAAATAGTGTTTCCCCCCGGTTTTGTCTATTATCATAAAGTTAATTTTTATTTAATATAGTTTGATAAATTAATAGTTCTTATATATTGTTACGTTCAAGCTCCGCACGCATGGAGGGGTGGGGGGGAGGGGACGAACGCAACAGGAATCGATCTATCGTTTTCGTCGCGTCCAAGCTCCAAACCGCAGGGAAGGTAGAGGAAGGACCGACTCAAACGAGAGGCACTTCGCTTCGTCCTGAGGCTCTCGGGGAGCCGGGGGTTTAAAGGGAGACGAAGTAGAAGTCTCTCTCGAGGTCGACGCTCCACTGAACGGACTACGAGGCGAACGCACACGCTAAAGGCTCAAAGTGCTGGGTCAGTGTAAGGGCTCAAACTGTGTCAATGAGCCGTAAGGGCACACTTTTACGCCAGATGTGCCAATATGTTGGAATACCCTTATTTTCGGTCTTGAAAGTGAATTCAAATGACCGGCGATAGGAGCAAGTGCAATAGCGGGTTAACGTTTATGGATACAAGGAGGTGTTGTTAGAATTAAAATAGTCAATATTTTAATTACATTATACAATTGAAATTAAAATTACCATTACATAGTTGGTTATCCATTTTGTTATTAAATGATATGTGTGTGTGTAAATGTAACGTGTGGCAGAAGGGAGAAACGGAGAGGATAGTCAGGGAATAATAAGGGAAAGGAGTTTTGATGAGTGGATCTGAGAGGGTTTGGCCTGATTTTCTTCGGACGATGATAGTATTAGCGGGCGGACACGTCCGACCGGTCGACAGGAACGAACAATTATCGCGAGGGGGACCGCGACAAGGATTGAAATTGTAGCGTGAACAGACTGCAATGTTTTATTTCCTTTTACATGGGAACTCAAAAGGGAGAAAGAAAGAAAGAAAGAAATAAAAATAATCAAATAAAAATAAATGAATAATAAAAAGTAACTAAATAAAATATTGAAATGAATTACTGAAAGAAAAAGCGAGGGGGACTAGAGAATATAAATATTATGAAAAGTAACTGATATATTATTCAAAGTCTCAGTTCAAAGTGAACATACATAAAGCGTATTCTCAAAAATGTAAACCTTTAAAAATTAAACTT